AGATAACGTGGGTATGATAATGCAGGTTTAATAATTATTGTTTGTTTGTTTAGCAGCATATCAAAGTATTTAATGCCAAAATTTAATTTTCTTGGGAGTATTAATTTCTTTTACAAAAATGTATTGCTGGTATCTTTTTTACTATGAAAATGTATCATTGATATTTTTACTATAAAAATATTTATACTTTCATAGTGTTTTGACCCTAGTTTGGGGGTTAAATATTTTCCCATAGCTGGGGTCCTAACAGGTGCTAGTACCCCAGGTCAGGGTGGACCAGGGAATAAAAGCAATTAAGAGATGGTTCCACGCTCCTCAAAACCTCCTGATCAGAGGCCTTGCTGCCTGATGTAGTTTATCGTCATACCCAGAACGATTTAATAATGATGCACATTGTTTTAATGAGTCAAGGTAAAAATGTTGGTATGATAATGCAGGTTTAATGATGATACACTTTCTTTTAATGAATCGAGGGAATAATATGGATATGATAATGCAAGTTTAATAATGATACACGTTAACTGGGTTTTGGGGAAGTGATTACAAAAATTGAGTAAGAAGAAAGCATATAAATTGCTCTTACATTAATTGCATTTTTGTTAAATCTAGAAAATATCTCTTCATTGCATCATGTAAAAACATTCATTTAATCAATTATAGTTTTAAATTGCATGTACTTTAATTTGAAGTGAAGCATATTTTGTGACAAAAATGCTTTTGGTTAATTATATTGGGAAGTCAGAAAAATATAAGAATGTAATTTTGAGAATATTATTTTTGGTTTTTATTTTAAATTTTTACTATTTTTAAAAAATTTTAATTGTATTAAAAATTTTTTTCACATTTGTAGAAAACAAATGTAAAAATGACACAAAATTAAAATTTAATAACATTTAAAGTAAAAAGAAAAAGAAGCAGTAATATATTGATTTGATAATATGCTAAATATGAAAACTCAAGTTAATGTCAGTGTCCCTGCTTGTTAAGGCTTTAAACAATGAGTAATTATGTGGGGTGGTGGGGCTGTACTGTTCGGAAAAATATAGGATGGATCTCAGTAACTGACTGACAATTAGTTTTTACAGTATATTTCTCATTCAGAAGATATATAACATATTTGATTTTATATATGAGCTCATCTCCCAATTACATAAAATATTACAGTATTATGGACTTAGGCTAGATACAAGTACTGGTAGTCTATAGTGTCAAAATAAATAATAGCCTATTAGTTACCTCATATTTTTAACCTTTTGCTGTTTTTTATAAGCCAGCAAATACAATATTAACAGCAGTCACCTCTCAGTATTGTTTAATGTTTGTGTTGCACACATTAATGAGAACACAAGAATAAATCTCTTACACATAACATTACATTTTATCCAACTCCAGACATTGTTAATTACCAGTGAGTGTGTAGCTTTGGGTTTTTTTTCCAAACATGGATTCTACATTCTTGCTAGAATGTTTTTATTCCCTCTTTGATGAGTGCTTATATCACTGCCTCTCATACGATTTTTTCCCACACATGTTTACATGTTGGGCACAGCCACTGAGATTAGATGAAGTGCAGATCTGCACATGGTAGCTAGGAGGTCATCTCTTAGGTCGACCAGCTAATGCACCCGGCTTCTTTGAAGAACATTAAGTGTAAAGTTTATTTTGGCATCATCTGAGGTGATCTACATACTACAATTCTTTGTGCTGTTGAAGTTGGCAACATTTTGGCAGATCTTTTCTTTAGCCTTCCTTATATGTGTAATCCATAAGAAAAAGGGAAAAATTTCTTCAGAAAATATAGCAACAAAAAGACATTGTGTTAACAACATCAACACTATAAAAATAACAGGTCAGTTGTCTGAATGAAATTTGGAATGCTCAGAAACAACTGCACCAATGGTTTTAAGAACAAAAATTAATGACACCTTTTGTATCATGTTCTATATTTCTAGTATGTAGAAATTTGGGGGCTTAAGAAAGACATCACTCTGTATCTTCTCCCCCAGCTTTGGATTAAATAGCAGAGCAAACTAGGTTCTCTAGATTTGGGTGGCAACCTGTATATGAGGACAACTTAGAATTCAAGATATGCCTGAAAAGTTATGGTTTCTGCCAGTATATCTTTCCCTAGACACACCTACTGCTGCTACAGCTGCAGTACATATGCTGAACCTATGAGTACTGTGTTATGGGGCTCATGATTGTGATCGTAATATAAATATATGTATTTATTGTAATATAATATGTAATATGTAATATAATATGTAATATGTATTTATTGTAATATAATATGTAATATGTAATATGTAATATAATATGTAATATGTATTTATTGTAATATAATATGTAATATGTAATATGTAATATAATATGTAATATGTATTTATTGTAATATAAATATATGTATTTAAAGCAATCCAATCAGAGATTTTGAATCAATTTTTGTACATCATTATTGGCAATGGACATAATATAAGTTATCTGGTAAGTAATAAAGAACAGATTACATTGCAGGCCCACTCTAATCCTGACTTTTCTTGTCCTGCTGTACAAGTGATTACTAACAAGGCAGGGAAAGGTAAAAGGAGAATTGGATTGACACCTTTATCAAAAATATTTGTGACATCTCTCATCTGCATTAGTTGAGTTCTCTAAATGTTAATCACTGCAAATTACATTTTCAGCAAAATTTCTAATGGGATGACATAAGATTGCTACAGAAATTATTTGGTAGTAATTGTTTCTGTAACCTTTGATATTGACAGTAGATTTATTAAACAAATAAGGCAAAACTTTTATTTGCCCTAATGATTATATACTATGACAGCAGACTTTTTAAAATTAGGTCTTACTAATTTTACAGTTATTGCCCAACCTCCATTTTGCTATGGGTTTTAAAATCTCTGGCAGTAGGAAAAAAAATTTGATAATTCTTAATAATCTAATAATAATTTTAATGTTGTATATTAAAAAGCAGAAAGAAAGAGATCATTAGTGTTTAGAAATTAATGCAAACAAGACAAAAATAGGGTTATTATGTTTAACGTAAACACACTACTAATGATTGCAAACAATTTTATGATAGAAATGCATGATAATAGGGAAGAATTGAATTGTCAGTCATTAGGAATTGCTGACAAAAATTGTGTTACTATATGTATAAATAATATAAATGTAATGGTAATGATTTTATTATAGATACTAGCAAAAGTACCAGGCATTCCTAGGTGACTAATTTTGTCTAAATAAAGATAAATATTTTATTTTTTATAGATAATTAAAATAATTAAGGGAAGTAACCACTTGTAAATTTACTACCTTAAGTAGATTTACCTCACTTACTACTATAATGTGTGACATGAAAGATATAAATAAATAAGTACACAATGGTAATTATTATATAATGTTGATACACTGCGAATAATTTTATGATGGAAATGCATTAGAATCAGAAAGACTGGTGTTGTTAGTAGTCAAGAACTAATTCAAGCATTACTGAAAGAATAAATCTGTTATATGCATAATGGATGTACATTTACTATATAAGTACATTGTAAATAGTTCTACAATAGAAATTCATTGAAAATAAGAAAGAAATGGATATTCATTAGTCAGGAATTAAGGCAAGCATTGCTGGCAGAATAGAGCTATTGTTAGTGTATAATTTTTAACTTTTATCATTTACATTTCCAGATTTGTGTTAACATTAAAAACGAGTATCTGTCTATATTTTTGAGATGAGTTATTATGTACACTATTTACATTATTCGGACTATTGTCCTCATCTTTGTTGCCATATTTATTACAACGTTTCGGCCGTTGTATGCTCCGGCCTTCTTCATGTGTCTGGAATTTGTGTCCTTAAGGACACATGGCACAGTGGATAAAGGCATTGGTTGGATCCAGTGACAGGACCCAAAGAGTTGTGAGTTCAATACCTGGTTAAGGCAGTGGAGAACTTGGAGAGGTGAATTAACAGGATGTAACTGACATCCATTAGACATGGCATGTGGAACTAGAACAGTCTACCCCAGCAAGCAAAATGAAGGGTTCAGTTTGACATTCTAACCATCTGAAGAAGGCTGGAGCATACAACGGCCAAAACATTGTGATAAATATGGCAACAAAGATGAGGACAATAGTCTGAATAATGTAAATAGTGTATTAAGAACTGGATCTTAGAATTTTCCCCTTTATAAGGTAAATTAAACAAATGTTAAAAAACGTGAGATAATTTGAATTTGTTTTGACTAAACTATAAAGAGAAAGAAACTAAAAGAGAAATTAATTTTACTACAAAATTCCACTTTTGGTTATCTTGACATAGCACTTAAAAATTTGTGAAGGGGACCTACCAATTTCATGGATAAATTTCAATCCCCAGTGAGTCTTGCTGTTATAAATGAAAACAAATTTTAACACTAAGGAATGGAACATTGTTCATTTGTTTCGGATGTGAAATGAATCATTCTGAATCCCAACTGAAGTAGATGACAGTTTTTGAAAATCTTTCAAATGCCATCTTCTTACAGAGACCAATTTATTTTTTTTTTCTATTTCTTAATATTGGGCACTTTTTGTCGTTGTTAAAACTGATATCTATATAGAAAATATATAACTCTTATGATTATTGACAAAATAAAATCAGAGTGCTGCTTTTGAAAAACTTTCTCCCTTTCATGATTTGAAGAAGGTTGTGCTATCATTGAATGACTTATAGTTGCCTTTAAATAAGTAGGTAAGTATAAATCTTGTAGATATTTGATTGGACAAAATAAAATAAGCATCCAAGTGTTTACTTCTTTTGAAAGATTATTCACAGCACTGACTGTTTTTAGATTGTTGTTATTTTATTTTCAATCACCAAATGAATCAATATGTGTATATTTCAAGTGGTTGGACTAGTGTAAATGATTGGTGAGTTCATTTAGTGCTGTTCTGATATGCCAGTTTTTTTTAAATTTTATTTTGCCATTTTATTAGATTTCTTTTCACTTGTAATGTTTTTGTTTTTCATCCGTATTTGTTCTTTCATTGATTTACTTCTTCTATTCTTTTCTTTTTTATCATGTCATTCATTTTCTTCTTTTATCTTCTTTCTTTCAATCATACTTAGTCCTTTTCTTTATTTCAGTTATTTTTTTCCTTTTTTTTTCTTTCAATCATTTCTTGTCTTGTTTTGTTCAATCAATTTTCTGTTCTTTTCTTTCTATCAGTTGCATTTCATCATCATCTTTCCTTCAATCATTCTTTCTTTCTTTCTTTCTTCCTTTCTTTCTTTCTTTCTTTCTTTCTTTCTCATTTCCCAGTGTTTGTCTATTGCCTTTACTTTTATTTCCTTATTTTCATTCACGTTCTACTGTTTTTCCTCTTTCAAATTTTTTTATGTCCATTTTCTTTCTTTCTTTCTTTCTTTCTTTCTTTCTTTCTTTCTTTCACATTTCCCAGTTTTTATCTATTACCTTTACTTTCTTTTATTTCCTTATTTTCATTCATGTTCTGTTTTTCCCCCTTCTTTCAAATTTTTTTATATTCATTTTCTTTCTTTCTTTCTTTCTTTCTTTCTTTCTTTCACATTTCTCAGTTTTTGTCTGTTGCCTTTACTTTCTTTTATTTCCTTATTTTCATTCATGTTCTACTGTTTTTCTCCCTTTTCAAATTTTTTTTTATATCCATTTTTTGTCTATTGCCTTTACTTTCTTTTATTTCTTTGTTTTCATTCACTTTCTACTGTTTCTACCTTTCTTTCAAAATTTTTATATCCATTGTCTATTTTATTTCTTTTGTTCTCATTCATGAATTATTTTTCTGTCCTTTTCTTTCTTCCAGTTGTGCTTCATCCTCTTTTTTCTTTCAATCATTTCTTTCTTTATCTCTTTTTTGTTCTCTTTTTATCCATTTCATATTTTATTTAAAAAGAAAGAGTTTATACTTTTCTTTCATTTCACTTCTAGCTTCTTTATGTTCTTTCTTCAACCTTCTTTGGTTATTTCCTTTGTTCTTTATTTATTCTTTTTATCACTTTAGTTTTTAATGGCATCTCTTGACCAAAATAAACAATAATGAAGATTATAATTAATTATCCCAACAGACCAGCTTTTATCATTATCAAGATTTAGAAAAGAAATACATGAAAACTTTAATTCACTTGACTGATTATATATTGAGCAACCCAACACATTCTAGAAGTAGTGGTAAATGAAACAATAATTATGTTTGTATTTTAATGCCTCCTCCATTTTAATCTGGTATACATAATGAGAAACAAAGAAAAGAGGGCTGAACTGTGATGTAATAGCAATCCTTCTATATGACAGTGAATGCTGGACAATTTTCTCACATATTTAATAGCATATAAGACAGGTTTTTATTGTTTTTTTTTTTTTTTTTTTTTTTAAAATTGTATCTTTGCAAATTTGAGGTCTGTAGGTTAATTTTGTTCCCAATGCTCACTACCAGTAAAGTTTTCAGGAAATTACAAAATCTTTGGCTACTCATGCAGCCTTTATCAGTATTTGTTACTGATTTTTGGGTTTTGGCTTTCACAATTGACTGTGGGTCATTTCTAAGTCAACAATAATGATGACAATAAATGGTAAGAAAAAAACGGAAGAAAGAAAAGGAAGAAAAAACAGAAAGAACAGAGATATAGAATTATCTTTCTATAGTTATTTCTGAAAGTTTGTTATAAATATTTGAGGTGTTAACCCTAATTGCAAACTTATTATGAAAATTCTAGATTTATCTCAATTTGTAAAAATGAACTATTATCTAAAAAGAAAACAAACCAGAAACCCAGTGATGCCTGTGAGAAGTCTTCTCTCACAACTCTTTTAAATGGAAGTAAGTGAATATTTTGTTGATAATAGGAATTGTTTTTATGAGCCCAACGGAATTGTAATTAAAATTATCATCTTGTCTAAGTGTTTAGCACACAATGGAAAATTTTGTGCAAGTTTGTTTTGTAAATTTTATATTCTGTATTATTATTATTATTATTTTATATTATTTAATAAATCTAAATTTCTTTCAAATTTCACACTGGAGTCCTGTGGTTTTATGATTGTCTCATACATAATACTTGGGATAAGAGATATGACATTCTTTCTTCTCCCCTCTCAAAGTAACCTTTTAGAATATCTCTGTCATCACAGTTTATACAATATAGGGGGCATATATGGATATTTACTATCAATATAGAATAGAAATCCAAATTTACCTCATTCAAATAGCTATTTCAACCAACAAGAAGACTTATATTGGCATTGTCAACTCAGAAGTGTGAAGGAATAAAATAAGAAATTAAAATTTAAACATTCCTATATATATATATATATATATATCCATAGACAGACTGTTTCGCTGTATCACAGCTCATCAGTGTGGTAAGACATCCAATTGCTTCAAGCCAGGATCAAAATTTGACCGAATTTGGCATCAGTCAGAGACTCTACCCCTAAGCAATTGGCACACAGCAAAGAAAGAGAATGTATATTAGTTTACACAGGTCATCAAAAATGATAGAATATATGAATTATTTCATTAAGTCCTTATGAGAACGTTTTCACATGTAAATCTTTTTATATTTTTTACATTTATCATTATTATACTCTATTTTTTTCTCGAGAACGTCTGTTCACCCCCAAATTTCATAAACATCTTAGAACAGTGTGCCTTTCTCATAAGAAAAACAATGCTGACCAAGCAAATATCTCAAGTATGGAAAAAAGTTAGAGACATTACAAACAAAAAATATACAAATGCATTGGTGCATTAAATATATAATGTGTGTACAAAAGTTCCCAGAACTCTTTTTGGAAAAACTGAGTCAAAATACATAATAGGAAATTGTTTTTTTTTTTTGTAAACTTCTGCACACACTTAATATATACAGGGTGTATCAAAAATACTTTTACAAACTTTGGTGGTGGGTTCCTCACACTAAAACAAGGAAAAATGTCCGTATAAACATATGTCCAAAAGGACATCATTGTAATTTAACAAAGCAACTCATAACAAATGTTCAAAATGTCCTCTGCTTGCTTCTACACATGCATGCACCTGTCAGACTATTGACTGGCAGACCCTTTCAAATACTCCCACATAGTGTTGAATAGTTTTACAGGCCCCATGGCATGTTGATGAAGCATCTCTGCCTTATTAATCTCTGCTGCATAAACCAATTTTTTTAGGTGAGCCCCACAGATAAAAATCCAAAGGATTGAGGTTGGGGGAATATGCAGGCCATGGAACCAGTCCTCCCCTACCTCTCCATCTTTCATGGTAGATGTTAGCCAGTGCATCACAAACAATGTGACTAAAATGTGCTGGAGCCTTATCATGCATGAACCACATTATTAGCAAGGGCACATCCTCTAGCAGGTCTGGAAATGCAATCTGATACAGCTGTGCAGCCTCATGTCCATTACCATTTTCATGGCCATATGTAAAAATCTTATCTGCCTGTTCACAATATGAATATCCTGCCATTGTTAAACAGCACACTTCTCAGTTAACTCACTACTACACACATTAAAAGTTGAAGACAGACTAGCCACAAATGTACATGAATGACAAATGTAACCTAGTCTACATGGCAACACAGCACCATCTACAGTAAACTTTCTTGAAACTTAATAACTCCAAAATGACTTTTGTCCTTGTTTTGATGTGAGATAAATATATTCAATGTTTGTAAATATATTTTATATATATATATATATATATATATATATATATATATATATATATATGAAAAAATATAGTCTTAAGGTGTGCTATATTTATAGGATAAAGTGCTCAATATCAGAGATAGAAATGTATGAATATAAAAGTGACTTCTATGTTCACTTTTATATTATATATATATATATATATATATATATATATATATATATATATAAATGAGTGCATGATTGAGTGATTAGAACATTAGCAATCCAACCAAGAGACACTATGGTTGATTTGTCAAGAAGGTACCTTAGTAATATCAGCCTTGGGAAATAATTCCAGTGTGCGGCACTTTCGAGAATCTTGGTGAGTAAAACTGAGTGGATGAAATTGTTTGAAAACTGTCAAAGATTGTACTAATACAAAGTCATGTCATCATGAGTGTGGGTTTGTGTGTACTAGCATTCTTCGACTATTAATCACACTGAATTATGTGGTCTTTCCCAGAAACTGTAACTAAGATCCATACAGCATAATCACAGTATAAACCACATACTGCATATCTCCCTCATGTGGGTGGTCTTCGGCGATGGTGTCAATTCACTGATATATTATATTTTCTCTCTCTCATCTTCTCTTGGCCAGTTGTTTTGGTTTGGGGATAAAAGGACTTCAACAAAGGGAATTTTAACTTAACTATTTATTAAACACAACAACATGTACATTTCTAACTATCCAGTGGGGTTGCTCTACCAACCTACTGGGGAGCAGTTTCCAGACATGAATGGCACATTGTTTGATGTGTAAGAACCAACTTCCCATAAAATCTTTCTCTATCATTCCCATGCTAGTTCAGCCAATCAAAATCAACTTCATTTATTTTGTCTTGTATTTAACCTCAAAGATCAAACTGAGGAAGTCAGAGTAGAAATACACTTCTCTCTAAAAAAATAATAGTTTGATAAACTATTATTTAACACTGGCAGATGTGTACTTACTGATATATATATATATATATATATATATATATATATATATATATATATATATATATATATATATATAATTCTAATATTATTTAGTCCTGGGTATGATGATAAACTACATCTGGCAGCAAGGCCTATGATCAGGAGATTGAAGATTTTGAGGAACATGGAACCACCTCTTAATACTTGTTCCCAGAGTCCAATCTAAACCAAAGTGGTAGCATCCATTAGGGTCCCAGCTATGGACAAGTAGTGAACTTCCAAACAAAAACAAAACACTATGAAAGTATAAAAACACATTTCTACAGCAAAAATACCAGCAATTCAGTTTTATATTAAAAAAATTAACAATACATATTTGTAGTAAAATTACCAACAATAGATTTTATCTGTAGTTGAAGGCATACAATTGCGTCCAAAATATATTTAGTTGAAGCAATAAAATTGCATTCAAAATATTTAGATTTCAGTATTAAATAACCCATAGAGGTTAATATGCCAATAACCAAAATAAATTACTAATATTATTAATAATCTTTGCTTATTTGTTTATTTTACAGGAGATAAAACAAAATAAGACAATTTTAATAACACCAATCAGTAAACAAAAGAATTAAAAATCTAATTTTAATGACTTTATAAGAACTCCATTTTAACTAATTCTGAATATGTAGCCTATGTCTACCTCAGTTTTCAACACTCTGATCTATCAATGAAAAAACAAAGAAGAAACTGAAACTTTTTTTAAACAATTGGTTGAAGGGTAAATAATTATAAGCACCCTAACGTATATATATATATATATATATATATATATATATATATATATATGATGGACTCTCCCGTCGTTTTCAACATATAAGTGTCTTTCAGTTTAGTTTTTAATCCTGTACTTCTCCCCGTCACCTTAACTTTCTTACTAGTGGATTCGTTGCTCAGGTGAAACAGCAAAGAAGGAACACAGAACTGAACTGCAGACAATCCACACAAAAGATTTGTTTAGAGTGGTGAAGGCTTGTGCAGAAGCAGCCACATTTATTTGAAGTGCTGATAACAAGGAGTTGGTGAAAATATTTGCGATGAACACAATGAACAATGCCCCTCATTATTGATGTTGGAGTAAACAGACATATATATATATATATATATATAATTACGCACACACAAAATTACTCAACAAAACGAGTATTAATTATTATCTGGTTGTTATGTGATGTTGGAGATATGGGAGACAGTAAAGAGTAAAATTGTAAATTTGG